AGGTACGGGGGTACCCAGAATCACCCCCAGACGATCTTAATCTGCCGGGCTGTAACACGTAGGCAGCCAGCGGCTGCTTCACGGATGGTGCAGATGTTTCTGCCTTGAGGTGGAGACGTCCAGGGGAAGGGAGGAGCAAAGAGCTGGGAGCTCCAGGGGTGTCAGCCGTCTGCCTGGGTCCATGAGTCAACTCGCTGACGCGTGGTAAAGCCACATGCTTTAGCACACGCAGCTTTCCCCACACTGCCCGCCGGTCCATCTCCAGGAGGTGGAAGGGGTAATGCAGTCCCGAGTCATTCTCTGGCCTTTCGCAGGCAGGCAGCAAACAAAGCTGGCAAGCAGGGCAGTGGGATTATTTTACCATCTGTGCATTAGAAACTGGCCCAGGAGTCACCAAGCTCGCTTCACGCAGGACATGGCTGCTTTGGCGTGCTAATGGACTCCTGCTCACTGTCAGCTGGGTCTAGATTTGAATCGGGGACGAGGAGGTGGAAAACACATTCTCTTTCCTATTTCAGAGACTGCGTCCTTTCAGAGGAAAGCCATTTCGCGGAAGAATGAATACTCGTTTTAAACACCACTTCCCATCTGCCGCTCATCAGGTTCCTCACCCTCCACCAGCACAACCTGCAGCCAGCACCGGGCTGGGGGGACCTCAGACCCCAGGCAGCCAGCCTGCTGTGGGGTAGTCCCCCGAGCCCTCCGAAGGGCTAAGCAAGGCCTGCCAAGGAAGGCAGGCAGGAGAATATATTTTGCACATTTCAAAAAGGAAACCTGGGACCTGGTATCTCATTCTAGAAAGTAATCATGGACTTAATTGCATTTTGCTGCAGAGTTGCCTTAACATCAAGGGAAAATCAACAGGGATTGTTCAACATCGAGACTAATCTCACATATGGAACTTACTGAACGTAGGAACCACGTTTTTGCTGGCTCAAGGTGAAATGCTGGGCTAAATTCTCCTTCAGCTGCGAGAAAAGCCCTAGGCACGCTCATCCTGCATTATTCCAACTGCAAAGAGCTTCAATTATACACACATAACCCTTCTCTCCCTTCTTTGGCGCTGTCGCAATGCAACAGTGCCTCATTATGATCAAACTCCTCTTTTATGGCTATAGGAATATGTGGAAGTCTTCTACCCTCATTACACAAATGACTCCTTAGCAGCTTTATTTTAAGAAACTACCCACAATTGGTAACACAACCGCATTTTATCTGTCACTGAGGGGAAGCTGTGACTGACACCTGAGCGTGTCCTCAGCAACCGCAAACCCGCACGTACAGGGCAGGTTCTATGCATCTAAGCAACTACAGTAACTCATCCCTCCCTCTGCTCCACACTGAATCACAGTCTTGCTTCTGCTTACAAACTTGCTTGCTAATCAGACATTTTATACTATTTATGCATAAGAAGGAAATATGTCATTCCTTTATTGGGATAAAAAACGATACTAAAGAGCAGGTCAAGTTCCAAATCCAGCAGTACGTTTCAACCGATGTTGTTCCCTTTTTTTTTTCCTCTTTTTTTTTTTTTTCTTTTAACAGCTGTAGCTGTGCACAGATGGAAAAACATTTGGTCAGAAAGCAGCAAATTAGTGTTTTCAGGCTAGAATTCTGCTCCCACCGCTCCTCCATTTCCATGCAGCTCAGAATGCTTTATTTCTTCTTAGCATTGACATTTTTGCACACCCAATTCATGCCGTCCTTCAGACAGAGAAAGGTAATGTTAGTCAAGTGAAGGGAAAAGGAATCCCCCAACCCCACCCAACCGCCATTCTGCAAGCACCGTGTTCTGCCTCCTCGCCTACCCTCTGCCTGCCCTCTGTGCCCAAAAACGCCGCCGGTAAAAAAAACAAGTGCCTCATTGCTCAGTAGATGTTGTCACACAGAGGTTATTAAATCTTTCATCTGACCATAAAAAGTATCATCATCTCATCATGTCACTATGTGTAGGTCCTCTGAGGAAGGATCACTTTGCAGTCAAGGTACGTCAGTGGCAGATGAAGGCTCAGTTCCAGGTTCAGCTACAGATCATTTGTGTAACCTCAGGCAAGTCACCTTATCTTTGAGACCATGGATTTTAGTGGGCTATTTGTTATACACTCATCTCCCTATTAAGAATACGGGTCTAATTCTCAGCTCAGATGCGAGCCTTGAAACTGGATCTGGATCCTTCTCCCTGTTCCTCAGGGTCCCCACAGAAAATGGGCCCT